AGGGGATCAATCTTTGGCTAACCTGGATGAGCCTCTTCTGCCATCACTTTTGATTTCTTTTATGGCCCCCACTGGAGCTTAAGACTTATTGTAAGAATCTGCTCAGTCAGAGGGTTCCAGAGGGGACCATTGGAGTTTATGGAAAATTTTCCATCTGCTAAACAACCTTTAGAAAAGAGTTTAGTTATTGACTTCCTGACTCATCCCTCCACCTCCCCAGCCAATCTCTGGGGTGAGAGTTTATGTTCTTTGATGTCAAGTATATCTTGAAGGTCTAGCACCATTGTTGACATAAAATGTTCATTTGATGAGAGAGCAAATTGACTTGGAGTTTATGATTGACTTTGTTGTTTCATTATCATTTAAATATGTTCAAGTTTTTCCCAACTCTACCTAGTATGTTCCTGTCTCTCTCCACTCTTAAATGCACATAGATGACATTCCCATTTGCCCTCTTTTGGAGTTTGAGAAATAGATACACGGCTCCAAGTTCTAGCTCTTAAATCCCCCATCATCCACTAAGCTCCTTGAGATTACTCTGCAAATCACTACAGTTTAAGGACACCATGCCTTTAAAAAAAATAGGTTGATAAAAGTGTTGATTTAAAGACTTTCTCAGACTTTGTTTTATTCTATAGGTAAAACTAGAGGGAAAAAGATAAGTCTTCATCCACCTAGGGATTTCTTCAAAACCTGTGACTGAAAGGATACTTGACCATAAACCTACCATTTCCAATCATAAGTGTCAGAGTTGGGAGATAATTGGGTTCATAAGGAACAGTTACAAGTAACCAAAGGAGTAATTAAAGCAGGACAAGGAGCAAACTGAATTCAGCAAGATTATGCTGCCATGGCACAGCAATGGATCGTAAGTAAATAGTCAAAGTGTGGCTATTTGCTGTAAAAATATTTACTGTAATAATTTCTGTAATGGTAGACATTATGCTACATGTTCTATATAAATTATAGTTTTTAATTCTTGCAATGTCTCCATGAATGAATATCTTATGCCCATTTTACAGATGCTAAAACTGAATCTCATGGTTTTAAATGTCTATTTTTTTTTTAGATCCTGTGTGTGAGGTTTGACTTTTTTACTTTCTATATATCAAAAGGTTAGCTTGAGATTAAGGGTCAAGACTGTTGAGACTAATTTAAATGGTAATTCTGCTACTGAGTCTGTTTAATAATTTGATATTAGCCTAGGAGACATCAATAATCCAAAGTACATAGGTCCTGGAACTGGGGGTTCTGAATTTGAATCCTGGCTCAGTCACTTTCAATGTGGCTTTCCTTGTCTAGAAAACAAGAACTATAGTGTTCAGGTTTTGGAACTTTGTGGGGAAGTAAGTGAACTAATATTTTAAAATAAATGCACAATAAATGTTGGACTCTGTTTCTCACAGCTTAGTGTCAATTGTCTATCACCTCTCATATAACATACTGTCTTATCCATCACCCTCTGAACTTCCACAGATGTTTATCCATTCCTGTCTTATAGGACCTGACAATTTCTACTTGCATTGTGCACAAAACTAAGGCTAGCATCCTCACACCTAGTAGAAATAGAAACTCATCTCACCATTGAGTGTATTAGTCAAGTTTCTCCAGAGAAACAGAATAGGAAGCATGTATAAATAATGATGGTGATAGTAAGACAGATAGATAGATAAACAAGGATATATAAAGAGATTTACTAAAAGGTATTGGGTCATGCAACAATGAAAGCTTACAAGTCCCAAGTTCTGCAGAGTGCCAGCAGGTTGGAGGACCAGGAGAGGCAATAGAGTCATTCCAGTTCAAAGGCCAGCAAACCTGAACTCCAAGAAGAGCCAATACCTGAGTTTCAGTTTGAAGGCAGGAAAAAGCCAATACCCCAGATCAAAGACAGTCAGGCAGGAGAAAGTTGGGATTCTTTTCAGGCCTTCAACTGATTGGATAAGACTCACCCACATTATAGCGACCAATTTGCCTTATTCAGTCTACCAATTAACACCCTCATAGGAACATTCAGAATAATGTTTAACCAAATATCTGGGCACCCCTTGGCCCAATCAAGTTAACACATAAAATTAACCATTACACTGAAAAAGTGAACTTCTGCGAAACGGCCCCATCAACAATCCCTTCTCTCAAAATTGGCATATCTCTCTCCTACTCACGTGCTTCTCAGGTCATATTATTTGCTCTTGGTTGCCTCCAGAGAGTTTCCTTAGATAGTAATTAGAGTACAGGTGTTAAAAATCTTATCAGCACTTTCTAGTCACCCACAAGGAGCATGAGGACCTCCCAGGTACTTAGGGTTCTCTATCCAGCCTCCTGCCATCTGCTCTTTTCTTTCTCTCTTTTCTAGGGAACCTCCAAATTCCACCCATTTGGTGCTTAATTTTCCTCAAAGCTCATCGGGGTTTTAAAGATGCAGCTCACTTTGAGTTTGGGAGAAAGGAGGCTGAGGATTATGCATAACCTGCAGCTTCTCCTAGGCTATCCAGCTAAGAAACAGTGGATCCAGGATTTGGATAGTCTGCATTTTCCTTCACTCTGCTGGGACTTCTCTTTTGGACATGGGAGAAGCCCGTGTTAGAAGGTGTGGTGGCATACCAAAGAAAAAAAGGAAAACAATCAATGCAGACAGAGATTGAGATGGAATAAAGGGCTTCCTTCTCCAAGAGCTCTATTGGATTAAGGTAGCAAAGAGAAAAGGTACCAAATTTTTTGTGTGTTGAGTAGTCATAGTAGTAAAAGCACTCATTGGGTGTGATCAGGTAATTAAGAAAGGCAATTTGCTGTGGATTTTGAGTCTTTACAAGATTGACAGTCTTAACACTCATTAAGCCAGGTGCTCTCTGGCTTCTTCCAGTATTGCCAAGCTACAGAGAGCTGAGGCTGAATTGCCCCGTCTGTCCCTTCATTGATGATTTTATGGAATCAACCACAGTGACGAATGGCTCTGCATTTGGATGGTTGTCCCAGCTCTGGTCACAGCTGAAGCTCTCTATCACTGTTGACGTATGTGCACTCTGAGAGTTCAAGTGCAATTGGCCATCTGTCCAGGAGACTGCAAACATCCTCAGCATTGAAATAGCAATCAAAAGAGCCAGCCCTCCTCCAACAGGCACCTGGAGCCACAAAGTCATAGGCATGGCCACACCAGCAACTTAACATGGCTGGGAAGGCCCCTGGCCCAGCAGCGGGTAGAGAAAGGGGGTCACAGGAGCTCGCAGTCATGGCCTCGGAAAATGCCCAGGAGAATGACTTCCGGCTGTCCCTCCCAGCAGCTCCCTCACAATGCACAGAGAGACTTCGCTTTCCCCTTAGAGAGTCTTAGCCTATAGGCTCTAGGTTTGTATTTATTTATTTCATTTTTTAATTTAAAGATGTAGGGTACAATTCAGGATTAGGTATACAAATGCTCATTATGCAGGTACCCCTGTTGATGAGGTATGCCCCACCCCTCCCTGGCAGATTCCCACTACTGCCAATCCTGCCCCCTCACCCTGGCAGTTTTTATTTACTTATGTTTTGTCTTCTTGGGCTTTTTTTTTTGTGGGGGTGGCGCTGAGGAGATGATGTCAAGAGAAATGAACCATGAACTCAAAGGCAAAGGATGTACTTCATGGATTCAGTCACATTTGAATTGGAATCCTCCTATAGGATACATGACCTGGAAAAAGTCACTTTTCCTCAAGACTCGGTTTTTTCAACTGCAGAATGGCAGTAGATTATTTTCCCCCTTCCTTTTCAGACCATTTTGGGAATGACTGGCATGAAAACTGGCTTTGCCAATTAGTGATGTGCTGTGGTTAGCACTTGTTTTCTCGATGCAGTCAGCGATGGCCCACCTGCATGACATGGACCTTGTTATTTATTGAGGGGAATGAGAGGCAAGAACCAGATGGCATGGCTCAAGCTCATTTTAGGAAAAGAAGCAAATAGACAAAAAAAAAAAGATTAATTATGAGTCTCAAAAATGTTGACAGAGGCAAATGTGGAAACAGTCAAATGCAGACCCTTAACTTTTAATTGAAAATGTGACACATCATCAGGGGAAAATGTAAACAGTACCAAAACACATAATAATAAATCCATCTTCCTCCCCCTCCTTTCTTCAGACTACCAGGTCTCTCTCTCAGATGAAATCACTGTTGCTAGTTTCTTGTGTATCCTTCAAAAAAATAGTCAATTGAATGACAAGAGAAGCATTCTAAAAACTGACTTTTGCTTGGCTTTTTACCACTTAAAATCTCTTGTTCCATATCATAACATGTATCTTTCTCTTCCTTTGCCTGACTGTGTAGTATTCCATTGTATGGATGTACCTTAATTTATCCCAGTTTCCTCCTCTGTGGCAATAAGTATTTTGTTATTATAAACAGCACAGCAAAACAAGCACATTACACAAATTATTATTTGTGCACATTTAAGTAAATCATTTTATATAAACCTGCTGAATAAAGAGGTATATGTGTTTATTCTCAATTAACTAAACCTATCAGGCTTTCCAGCAATAACAAAGTATCCAAGTATGTATCTGCCCACAGCAACTCCCATTCAATGAGTTAAGATTTCACTCTCCCCTTAGAGAGCCTTAACTCGTTTATTTATTTACATCTATCCAGTCTTTTGAGGGTTTTTTGTTTTTGTTTTGTTTTTTGGTGATGGGAGGAGGATGATGTCAAGAGAAATAAGCCATGAAATCCAATTTATGAAAGAGTTGACTGAAATGTGGCAAATTCAGGGACACTGCTCCCATCTCAAAAGTACCCCCTGCAACAATATCTGCTTTCTCACCCAGGAGGTCTCTCACATTTTCATTTTTGCAAATAATCAGTAGGGAGGAAGGGGACAGCCTCTCCTCTCTCTACTCTTTCCTGGAGAGAAGAGGACATGAGGGGGAGAGGAAGGCATAGATAACAGAGATCCCTTCAACTCACATACCTAAGGAGTTCATGCCCTGAAGCCTCCTCGGAAATAATGCAAAGATCTGTCACCAATCGCAGATGCACGGCCTCACAGAAAGCCCACTTGAGCTGGGAGGGGAAGTCGTTCCCTGCAGATGCTCGGATGAAAACGAGATAAATAGTGAACTCTTTGAAGGTAATTTATCCACCCCTCACTACCTGCCTTCCCAGATACACAGACAATCCTGTGTTTGCCACAAGCAAAAAAGAAAGGTGAGATAGGTAGCAATCCCTTCGAGGCTGCCCCGGTCAACTTTATCAAAATGATAAAATGTTTTGGGTCTTGGCAGCCCCCTGGGTTGACTCTGGGTTGAGCTTCTTGAGGTATTAAGGGGTGAAAGAGGTGAGCACGCAGCTCTTCCTGGAGTGTCCCAATGGCATCTCTTGTGTCGCTGCTGATAGCATTTTTATCAAGATAAATCTAGTGCTGCTCAGGAAGGATATTAATAAATTATCTAGTAATGAAAAATGTGAGAGGAACCATACTCTTACATCAGTCCTGTGATGATTACTTTGATAGATGCACTGGCAAGATTTCCTCGACAAGGCAGAAATGAGAAACATGACACATAAACCTTTAAGGGTGACCTCAGAGGAAAACAGAAGTTGCTGAATGATACAGAAGCAGAAAAGGGAAAGCCGGAGCTCCGAGGCTCTGGTGTCAACTGCCAGATGGATGGGCTCCGCTGATCAACTGATCACTAAGTTTGCTGTCAGAAGCAGAAAGGGGAGGAGAATAGAGAAATGAAAGGGAGAGGACCGGACACAAAAGACAAGTGTAGTCATAAGAACGTGGGCTCGAGGTTGGAATGGACATGGACTGGAATCTCAGCTCTTCCCAAAAAGTTGCTAAAACATTGTAAACCTCAGCTTCCTCATCTGTCAATGAAGAGTATGGTTAATAACACTAAAATTGCAGAGTTGCAAGGGATTGCATACAATAATAATTAAAAAGCTTTTGGAAGTAGTAAGCACTCAATAACTATGAGAGAAGCAGGAACTAAGATGAAGATGTTAAAGGGAGAAACCTGAGTTTTTTTGTTTGTTTGTTAGTTTGTTTGTTCTTAGCATTCCTTGACACAAGTCATTGAGTCCTTGCTGCCCTGTTAGATGCTAGAAATGCTAACTGAGCATGGCTTCATCACATAAGGAATACAAAGTCTGGTGTGGGAAACAAGTTTTTATACAAGTAATCAAAGTGTGGTAAGGGTTGGGAGAAAGGTAAGCAAGTGGGAGCTTACAGGGTGGTCTTTGAGTCAGACTGAGGGAAGCCTTGCTTGCAGAGGTAAACTTGAAATGGAATTTTGCAAGATAAAGAAGAATCAATGGAGTGATGAAAGGAAAATGCTAAAGGTGTTTCTTGTGGTCAAGTAAAAAATCATAGCAATGTGCACCATGTGATTTGGTGTGATTGCCATATAGAATGGAAACCAGGGAGCATTAAAAAAGAGAACATGGAGAAATAGACCCCAGCCAGATGAACTCAGTCACTCTGAGCATGCATGCAATAACATTGGAAGGAATCCCCGGCTTTTTAGCACCTGTTTCTCCTCTATGTTAGCAACTGCTCCTTGATTCACTTTCAGAGACTTTCCTCTCCAGAATTCCCATTGATTTGTGAACTGCAGAACTGCACACAGAAGCTGGGGGCAGGGTGGGAGAACAGACACAAACTCCCCTGAGGCGTGCTCACCTGCTAATTCCTTTCACCTGAGCCTTCGGCAAGTACACAGTGCAGCTCACTGAAGACCTGGGGGGCATATGGACTAAGAGTCATCTTCAGAAATGTGAAAATATACAGGTAGTCTGGAGAACAGAGAGAGTTCTCCAAGGTCCAAAGAGCTGGCGCCTTGGTAGTAAAGCAGAGAGAGATCTAAGAAGTCATGCTGGGACTCAGATCCTGAACCCTGCTGAAGGGAGAATCTTGATCTCACCTTCAAAACATCTAAAACCAATGTGGTAAGCTGAAGCAAGTCAAAGCTGCAACTCAGCCCAAATCCGGTCACATTAGAATGAGATTAAAGAGGGTAAACTCTCTTACTCTATATTAGAAATCTGAGAGATGAAAGAATAAATCCTTTTCTGGGGTACTAATATTTAATTCAGGTTCTATTTATCTCTTACACACAATTCTAAAGCATCTAAAATATTTCAATGTTTTATATATGCATATTCATATATTTTAAAATAAAAAACTGACTTAAATTAGAAAAAAAGTGATCAATAAACCCACAGATGATTCAAATGTTAGAATTAGCATAAAAGCACTTTAAAATAACTACTACCAATATGTTAAAGCATCTGTTGACAGGCCAGGGTCTGTAAAATATTTAAAGAGGTTTATTCTGAGCCAAATATGAGTGACCAAGGGATAGTCACAAAAGGTCCTGAGAATGAGTGACTAAGGTGGTTGAATTACAGCTTGGTTTCATACATTTTAGAAGTGATCGGTAAAAAACATAAATCAATATATGTGAGGTTTACATTGGTTGGGCCTAGAAAGTGGGACATATGGAAGGGGGGATGGGGGGGAACACTTAGAGGTCATAGGTGGATTCAAAGGCTTTCTGATTGGCAATTGGTAGAAAGAGTTAATCTCTGTCTAAAGAATTTGGAATCAGTAAAAGATTGAGTTAAGATAATGGAGGTTGTGGAAGCCAAGGTTGTTGCCATGCAGCTGAAGCCTCTAAACAGTAGATTTCAAAGAGAATAGGTGATAAATGTCTTAAAAGGTGTCAGACTCTTCCTAAGGAGGGGAATTCTCTACAGATGCAAATTTCCCGAAACTGCTTTGCAGGGCCACTTCAAATTATGTCAAATAAACATATGTTGGGGTAAAATATTTTTATTTCCTTCATGGTCTGCTATCTGTTATGTGATGCTATACCAGAGAGAGGATGGAATTTGGTATTTTACTGTCACAGAGTCTGCCCTGTCAGTCTTATGATCTCTAATTTAATGTTAATGCTAGTCAGTTGTGCCTAAAACTCCACCAGGGAAAGGGTCTAGCAGGCATGTCTGACCTCCTTTTCCACCATCACCTGGAATTTAGCTTTTCAGGTTTCCTTCAGTTCAGAAGAGGTTTGTTCAGTTGGTTGGAGGGCTTAGAATTTTATTTTCTTTCACACATAGTGGAAAAAAGTGAAAATATGCATGAATAGAAAAAAAATTTCAACAGGGAAATTAAAACACTATCAAAGAAACAAATGGAAATATTAGAACTGAAAAATATAATAGCTTGAAGGAAGAATTCATCAAATGAACTTAACTGTAGGCTGGACATAGCAGAAAAAATAGCATAAAATGTAAAAGTCAAGTTCCAGTAAGATGGCGACGGCATAGGTGGAACTGTGACATTCTCGGAAAGTGAGTTCCCAAAAAGACTCTTACTTTCTTTCCCCCACCTCCCCTGCCCACCACCAGTCACACCAGTCCAAGGCCCAGAGACCCTCAGTCCCACGTGAGGCCGGCTATTGCGGCCCCTCGGCTGCTGCTGCTCCACCATAGGCAGACCTGGGCTCCCGCCGTGCAGAGATCCCAGCTCCCTCCCTGGCTACATCTCACCCGGCCCCAAGCTGCCACCTGTGTAGGTCCTTGGATACTGCCTTGTGGAGATCTGGGTTCCCTTGCGGGTTACACTGATCTGCCCAGTACCCAGCCGCTGCCAGCTCCCTCCCTGACTGGGCTCCCAGCCCAGCTGCCCAGTGCTTGCTCCTCAGAGTTCCAGCTCCCCGCACTGGGTTCTAGGCCCCTGCCCAGCCCTATTTCAAGCCGCCGTCACCCAGGGAGGCTCTAGGTGCCCACCCCTCAGAGATATGAGTGCCACTTCTGGCTGAAGTGCCCTGTGTGGGGCCCAAAGCCACTGTCACCACTCACCACCTGCCCTTCAGAGCTCTGGTCCCACTCTTGCGCTGGCTGAGGCACCCAGTGTGGGACCCTACGGTTGTGTAAGGGAATAGTATATCTTAAGGAGGTGCTGACCAGCCACTCTCAGCTCTCAGCTCCAGAAGAGGAAATTCCCCAGCTCCCTCCTCCACCCCAGACCACTGGTGGCACATCAGATCAGCTGTTCCACTGATCCCTGGTGCCTGACACACCACCACAGCCCGTCATAGCGGATCGCCCATGGACCCAGATGAGTGGAGAGAAAGGACGGGTGGAGAGAAAGGATCCGCGAAAGAAGAGCTGCCCACCTTGACCATTTTCCAGGCAGAGATTTGCATTGCTCCACCCACCTACGAGCAGCCTCCACCTTGGTTTCCAAGGTAATGTCACTAAACAGGTGACGAAAGCCCCTCGCCTATGCTGAATCAGATACAGGCAACTCAGCCATCGCAGACTTCTCAGGTAGCAAGCCAAGGGAACAAACCCAAGCTGGGAGTAAACTTATCTGCCTGCAATGAAAACAAAGGGGAGAGGCTAGAGATCAGAGCTGAAGAGACTTTAGACACTCAGGAAACATTCCAGAGCTAGTCTGGTTTCTTATTTTGACTTTTGAGTTTGTTGTTTTGACTGTTTTGCTCACTTTTGTTTGCTTTTTGATTTAGACTACCTGTTTGTGTTGGGGAAAAACACATCAAAAGGCATGATTTTATTGGACTGTCTTTGTGTCAATACCAGTATGTTTTAGGGAATTTTGTTTGTGTGTCTGTTTTTCACTCTTTTCTGGCCTTGTGTCTCTTTTTCACCCGTTAGTTGGCATGTATGTCTGTTTTCCCTCTCACATTTCTCTCTTTCTAACTTCCCCTTGATCCCCCCTTCTTCCATTATTTTCCTTTTTCATACCTTCTTTTGTTCCAGGGAGTAAACCTACACCCCGTTGCACAGACAGACTGTAAGGCAGTGGGAAATAGGTTCCAGTGTATCCATACACCTATTGGTGGTTACTGGGATCAGCAGATAGATTCTGAATCACAGCTTTCCCCTCAATTAAACCTCAAAACTGCAAAAATACAGGCCCCAGCCCACACTCCAGCCTCAAAAGTGAACAAAGCCATAGCACCCTCATAGGGAAGAACAGGAGATTGAACAAAAGAAGTAGCAGCAGCCCCTCCTTCCCTGAAAAGCAGAATTAAAGAAGGGGAGAGAAAGGGGGAGAGAGAGAAATATCTACACAAATGAAGAAAAGCCAAAAGA